GTACTTAATTAGTAATAAATATAAAATTTTATCAAACCAAGCCTTTGGACCCATAATTGCCCAATGTTAAAAAAAAATTAAATATATATAAAATTTTATCAATAAATTATTATATCTTTTTTTATTAAACAAAAGGAACTAGACCTACTAACAATAATAGGACGGAGTAATTTTTTAATTTTACTCTTATCTTTAAATAAATAAAAATGCATTAGGATTTTTTTCACTTAATTATAAGAAAGGGTTAAAATGTAAATATAAATCTTCATTATTGTAGTAAATAAATTTTTTTGATAATTATAAATGGATAAGGTGAGACAACTAAACCTAGAGGGAATAAGATTTTTTCTTTAATTATAAATAAGGGTAGAATTGAAAAGATAAGTACTAATTATTATAATAAATAAATTTCTTAATAATCATAAAATGAAACAACTAAATTTAATTAAAAAAATAATACATATTTATAATTTTGTTACCTATTAACTAACAATCACAATTATAAAATATTTCTAACCAACTATACTAATCTGAGGAAATATTTTAAAATATAAAAAAGTTGTGGAGCTTTAACACTTTTGGCAGTAAGCATTGCCCTCGTTATTACTCCTCCTTTTTTTTTTTTTTTTTTTTTTTTTATGGATCTTTTTCTTTTTCCTTTTGATTCGTTCTTTCACACGTAATCTCTTATTCTAATATTATTATTAATTGTGAAATTTTAGGTTATTCGCCTTTCGTTAATTTCACTATCTTTTCCTATTTACTATAGATTTATTAATATTTGACGAGAAGAGTATTTTTTTTTTAGTCTCAATTTTATGATCTAAACTGTATTATATTATAAAATAAAAATTAAAAAATAAGATGAACCTTTAAGTAGATTTACTATTTATTTAATGATAACTATTATATAATTTAATATAATTTAAACTTTACAATGCTTTTTTTCATTTATATGCTAAGTGAACTTTTGTTGCATATGATTGTATACTCAAATTTCTTAAAAGGGCACATTTTATATTTTTTTTAACATTAGAGGTGAGACTCAAATTTTATATCCCAAACCTTTTTTTTTATTTTTTTGTGATATGAGTTACATAATAAAAGATAATCATCTATCATTTTTTATCTTATTCATCCGCATGTCATGTAATTCAAACTCAAAATCTCTTATTTTTAACAAAAGAATATAACTATTAAATTATTTAAATCATTAGTTATATCTCAAACTTTAAAATGAAAAATTCTTAATAAGAAGATAGTGGTCACTTAAGTCACAAGACATTCTCATGCACATTTTAATTTTTTAACTTCCCTTAAACATGAAATTTTAATAAATATAGTAATAATTATATTTTTGTAAATTTTAATAATTTATTCTACCACAATCTAACCATAAAAGACGCAACAAGTAAAGTGGACAGAAACACTGTTGTTATCATGATTATGATTTTCATTTTTTCCAATTTTTAGTAATATTTATTGCTGTAAGAGTGTAACTCGTCGGCGATCCAGAAGGGGAAGGCAACAACTGATCCTCATGCAAAAAAGCGAAAGCAAAAGCTAAACCCCCGCCCCCTTAAAAACCTGGCGTTTCTTACACTTCTTCTGCTCTTCCTCACACACTGAACCACTTTTCCGTCTCTTCTTCTTCTTCTTCTTCTTCTTCTCTCTCATATTCCAGCCTGCGATCCGAGTCCGCCGGCAGCTGTTTCCGGTGTGGCGGAGCTTCCAATACTCTTACACCAGCTTCCGCCTTCATCAGTCGCCTAGACTGTAGAGGTCTTCCATGCCTTGTCTTGATTCTTTGATTTTTTTTGTTTTTGATGCTTCTGTAACTATGGAGGATCGAGATCCGAATTTTTTTGTACGGGAATACTGTTACTTAATCTTTTGCTTCATTTCTTCATTCCTCCTTTGGTTGTTTTTATTTTTATTTTTATTTTTTAATTTTGCTCTGTTAATCCATGATGAGATTAGTAAATAATCGCTGTCTTAGATCTAACGAATGGTCAAAGGAACGGTTTCCTGTTTTACTTTACTTTCGTGTTCTCTAGATGATCCTCTAATTTTGGTGGCAGAGCATTTGTTAGGAGATAATAATCTGCTCGTTAAATGTGTTTTCTGCACTCTGATCTCAAGTGTCGGGGCTGGGGAATGTGAATTTCGTTTTTGTGTTCTGCTTTCTGATTTTTATTGTTGGGAATGTGAATTTCGTTGTGAGATTGTTTGGCCTCCTACATACTCATCATGCACAAGCTTGAACTTTTAATTTGCTTTTAAAAACTGAGTAAGATTGAAATTTCAATCTCTTTATGGTTTTGGTTTGTGAGCTAAGGAATAATGGTTTTAGCCTTTCATTTGGTCAAGAAGCTTGTATTCTTCTAACACGAAGTTCTTGTTTGAATGTAATTTGCAGTTTGCTATGAGGATAACAACAATCATTATATAAAACATATAAAAGTATTTCAACCCTTGGTTGTCAATGAAGGTGCTTAAATCATGGAGAGCCTTGGTGAAAAAAAGGAGTGCAATCTTTGACTGGGTATGCCGTTCTCATTAATTTCTGTTTTTAGGCACTTGGAAGATATAGGTTTCTTAGGGAATCTGTTGTATTCTGACGTATGATTTTTAAATCGTCAAATTGAATAATGGTGTGCAGGGGAAATGTGGATTAAAGATGAAGCAGCTTCCATTTATGGGTGTTATTTGTACAGTAATGCTGTTCATCGTGTATAGAACCACAAATTATCAGTACCTTGAGACACAGGCATGTCAAACCATTGATTTCTAGATTTCTGGTTGTGATTTTTGATTGTTAGGTTCCTCTTTAATTATTTGGGAGTCATCTGATTCTTTGTTTCTTTCTTTTCCAATGCTTCTTTCCTCCTATTTTTAGTTGGAAGCAAGATTGAACCCTTTTCACACGGTAAAGGTAAATGTCTTAAAACTAGCTTTTGTTGCTTCAGCTTGTAGGAATGATAATTACAGTCTTGGTTGCTGCTATAGACTATGTTCAATCTTTGAGATCTTCTTGCAGACATATGATATTAGCACAGATTAAGTTTAGGCATCTAATTGATATTATTCTCCTGAGTTGCTTCTTATATTCTTTTCTAGGAAATTCGAGTAGCTTCTTCAAAGTTAAAAAATTTGCCTCTTGGCATCATTGAAGCTCGTTCAGATTTGGAACTGAAACCTCTATGGTTGACAAGTAGTTCAAGGTCAAAGGTAAGAGTCTAACTTTGGGGTATAATGGCATAAATCTACGGCCTGCTTTCTGATTAGAGCAACCTATTCAGTCTCTGTGTGGGTTTTGGGGGCTGGTGGTAAATCTGTCTATGTTTTATATATTGTTTGCTGATCAGGCCTATATTGTTTTCCCTCTGAATTTCTATTATTTGATTGGTGGTAATGCTATTGTACCTTACATTTGTTGGATATCATATTACAGGTTAATGTTTCCAGCAATCATAACCTTCTGGCAATGCCAGTTGGTATTAAGCAAAAGGAAAATGTTGATGCTATTGTGCAGAAGGTAATATATTTTGTCCTGTGTTTTCAAATGTCACCATTTGACATTCTTTGCCTAATTTCATTGAATTCAGTTTCTTCTAGAGAACTTTACTGTTATCCTGTTCCATTATGATGGCAATATGAATGGATGGTGGGATCTTGACTGGAGTGACAAAGCCATACACATAATAGCTCAAAATCAAACTAAGTGGTAAGTTGGCATCTTGTATTAAAATTCTTTTATATGAAATTTTGTGATATATTTGGGCAGATATGCATGGTTTTACCAAACTGTAAATGTTGTATTTTCTTCTGATGATTCAAGAGCTGACAGGCTAAGCTTTGCGTATTGCTTGGATTAATACCTTAATTCATTAACTTGCCCAGGCAATATGATTCCAAGCTAATATGATAGTCAGAAAAAAGAAAAAACCATAGGATATAACCTCCTTATTTTCTTTGAATTGAGAATTGTATGCACATGTGTGAATGCACACATATTAAGTCTATGATTTAGGTATGATGAGAAGCACATTATATATATATATATATACACACACATATTGATTTTCTCCTGTTTTGTAGGTGGTTTGCAAAACGCTTTTTGCATCCAGATGTTGTGTCTATTTACGACTACATATTTCTCTGGGATGAAGATTTGGGGGTGAAGAATTTTCATCCAGGAAGGTATGTTTGTCAAATTTTTTGCGAGACCTTATATTTCCTGTAATGATCAAATACTTCTGTGTCATTACAAGGCTTCTAATTGTGCTTTATAAGGCTTGTTAACTACAAAGAGACACTTTTATTAATTGTTAGATTTTCCAGGTATCTTCAAATTGTGAAGTCAGAAGGACTGGAGATATCCCAGCCAGCTTTAGATCCAAATTCAACAGAAATACATCACAGAATTACTATCCGTGCCAGAACAAAGAAGTTTCATAGGTGAATGAGCTGATCTTCAGACTTTTGATAAAATTTGTATTCATTAATATCTATATACTAATGTTAAATATGTTTTATCAAATGCAGAAGAGTCTTTGATCTCAGAGGCCATACCAAGTGTACAAATTCAAGTGAAGGGCCACCATGCGCTGGGTGAGTTAATTTAGTGATACGTGGACATGAACAGTGTCTTACTGTTTTGTACAGACAAATCATAGGTTTTATCTCAAGATGGCATAGGCTGAAAGGAGCCACTACCTTACCACTTAAGCTACCCCATGGGGTTAATATTTTCTATTTTTATTAAATGAGCAATCTAAATGTCTATTATTATAATACTCAACAACAACATATGGCATCTAACTTGTATTGCCTTCTGTGTCTGCGGGCAGACAAAACTTTCAGATTATCCACTATACATTAGTGATTATAACGAATACATTTCTTGAAGGATAATTCGTATTGTTATTTTATGGATACAATACTAATTTGGTTTGTTTCTATTACTGATTTAGATTTGTTGAGGGCATGGCTCCGGTGTTTTCAAGATCTGCCTGGTACTGTGCTTGGCATCTTATACAGGTAATCTTGTCCATGGCTTGCATGTATTTTAAATATTCTCATGTCTCATTTCATCATATCCATTGTTTCTGGGATTAATATGCATGTGATATGGTGTTTGTCTGTGTGGATTTACCTTACTCATTGAGAACTAATCAACTAAAGCAAGTGCAAATAGATAGTTAAAATGAAGGAACTCAAGGAAGCATAAAATAATGAACGAGATCATATATCTTTATTATCCATTTCAGTATTAAAAATCTGAGGGTTCAGTCTCATTTTGAACTTATCTACTCATCAAAAGAGCTACTCTTCATTTCTTCATTAATTTCTGCATTTACAAGGCTTCAGATAACAGCCGCCTTAGTTCTGCTTCTGCATGGACACAAAGGCATACGTAAATACATATTATATTATTATTGTATTATATTCATAATTTCATTTACATATGAACAAACACACAAAAGACCTGTAAATCTTGTATGTACATATTTCTGCATCTTCATCACATTCACAACTTTCTTGTTTAATTTAATAGGTTCAGAACAAAGCATCTGGTTCTTATTAATATTATTTTCATTTTCAGAATGATCTTGTTCATGGATGGGGAATGGATATGAAGCTTGGTTATTGTGCACAGGTGACTTAGTGACTCATTTAATTTATTGCCAGGGCTCGGCAAAAATGCATGGAAGTCATTCTCACATTGTCATTTTATGTTTGCAATACTAGTAATGGAAAATAAATACATTTGATGTAGCCCTGAACTTATTAAATTTATTCTTTTTATAACATGCTTTTAATTTTCATTTGTGAACTATGTAGAAGTTCCTAGCGTGCCGCAAAGAAGTTTAACATTCTTGGACAAATATTTTGTTGTACAGGGTGATCGCACAAGGAATGTAGGAGTGGTTGATAGCGAATATGTGGTCCATCAAGGCATACAAACTCTAGGGGGTGCTGGAACCCAAACAACAAAGGTTGTCTCTAGCTTCTTCCTATTTTCTCCGTGTGTGATTTAACTTGTTTTCTACATATTCTAATTCTATTGACCATTTTCTGCTCCTATTTGGTATCGTGGCAATCACATAACTTCCATGCCTTAACCTCAACCAGTCGGCTGGTATATTGTGCTACATGACTTTCTATAGTGAACTTGTCAAAGTAGTGTCTTGCAGGATTGCTTTTAGATATGCTTTTCTTAATTCCTCCTAGTTTGTAGCTTTCAGTTGTTGGTAGACTTTGGCATATGTGGTCATCAACATCTCTTTTTTTTTTTTTCTTTTTTCTTGATCTATTAAATCCTGATCCTTTACAAAGTGATATAAGTTTCCAGATTCATCCAGGCATTGATGATGCTCAAACTTTTCTTGTTCTTCTGCTGAAACTCTAGTTATTCTGTTTCACTTATAATTTTCATTCTGACATTCAGAGTGAGGTACAGAAACATAGACCTTCACATGGCGATTCACGAACCGAGGTTAGCTATGATTCCCTAATTTACTATAATCTCTAGTCAGTAGTTCACATTTTGCTATTTCAATGTCCACAAACTATCTGCATTGCTAAAAAATGGTTCATGTGGAATTATGATCTCTCATGAAGTCATGACCTGCAGATTCGGAGGCAGTCCACTTGGGAACTTCAAGTCTTCAAAGAGCGCTGGAATCGTGCTGTCGCAGAGGACAAGAACTGGGTAGATCCGTTTGTAAGATACCAAAGGCGCAGAAAACCAAGATGGCACCAACATTAAATCAATGTTTTAGTTCAGCTTCACCTATTGGCCATTTTAGTACCGTTCAAAAAAATAGTTCAGCTCCACCCACACAAGGATACACTAGTCTCTTTCTATACATGTAATTTAGTTCACGTAGCCTTTGCTTGTATACTCGTAATTATTTCATTTATTTGAATATTCATATTTTTGTTCTCATGGTCAAAATTCCCCCTCCCCCTTTCTCCCTCGTTTCCATTTTCTTGTTTGACTTGAAATTGATTAGCTTTGGGATTATCCTTTGATTTAAAGCCAATAACGAAGGAGCACAAGAAAATGACCTTTTTTTTTTCTCACAAATTAAATTTAAAAAATGATGAGTAATTTAAATTATATTAAATTGTATAAAAAAGTTTATTGAATTGAAGTGATGTTTTAATGTTGAAATCAACGATTTAAATAATTTAATGGTTTTTTTTTGTTGAAAATAAAAGATTTTGAATTTGAATCGCATGGTATGCGAGTGGAATAAGATAAAGATGAGAGATATTATCTCTATTGTAAGAAAAAAAAAAAAGAGTATTTTGAAGTTAGTACGGTAAATTGAAAACTCAAATAATTAATTAGTATCCAATTATTCGTTGTATTAAAAGGAGAGGAAAACATAGTTGTTGAACCGATTGTTTACGATACATTTGATGTTTGAATTCTTGTCGCTACTCATTTTATCGTAATCGGTGTCGGCTTCCAGGTCCCGACAATGGAACCAAACATCAGGTATGTACCGTTTAAACTTGAAAAGAGGATATTTCATTGGTGCAAAGATACAGTGCTATTTAAATTATATTATAATAATTATTAAATAAAAATTAAATCTCTTAGTATTTTATTGTTTAATACATTTAAATTATAATTTGAAAAGAGCTTATTTGCTTCATTTTTAGTCTTTTGCATAAATAATTTTTATTTTATAATTTAATACATTTAAATTATAAAATTTTGATCTCCAATGATTTTAGTTTACATCGTACTCCGTTGGGCCTTTCCCTCTATAAAAGCAATTTTCTACTTTTGAGAACATTTGTGTTCACTTCATAGGAGGCCTTAACTCCTGTAATCTTTGTACTCCATATTGCTTTTCTTTCATTTCTATGAATATTTTTGGAGTTATTTGTTTTCAATATAAGCCCTTGTAATGGCTGGCCGGTGCCAACATGATAGAAACCGTTATGATGAAGTAGAAGAGGTTAATCCTTTCGCAGTTAGTCTCTTATTCTTGATTGCTTCTTCAATTTTTTAAGGTTAATGATACTGATATTGATCACTAATCAATGATCATTATTTGTGGAACCCTTCAAGTGCGGCTTCAAAGCCAAGGCTTTCACCTCTTCTTACAGAACCAGTTGGTTTCAACTATGGTGGTAATGCTGATTTTCCTCTTAGTACAGTTACTACGAGACCCAGTTTTCAGGTTCGCGGATTTTTGCTTTCCTGAGTCAATGCGTGTCTTTTGGTTGATGAGATTGAGCAGTGAATATGATATTCTGATTTACTATGTTGAAAATATTCTAGGAGTTGAAGAAGATGGAGAAGGAGCTCCGGGCCAAGGAGACTGTTCAATTCAAATTTCATTCATGAGTCACTGGTACTCTTCGGGATGTGCAGGAAATCAAACGGGAAGAAGAAGCTTTAGCAAGAGGGAAACCTGCATTTGATGTTGTGATTTTGTTATTTTAATTACTTAGTTTTTCATTCATTGACTTGTGCTGTTCGTTTTGCAACTGGGGTTCATCTAGAAGTGAAAAATTGGCCACCATTTGCCCCAATCATTCACAATGATATTGAAAATGACATACCGAATCATCTGCAAAAGTTGATGTATATTGCCTTCTCAACATTCTTAGGTATGAAAGTCTCTTCCTTTTTGCTTTTCGGTAATCAAGTTATTTTAACTTCTTGTTTGGTAGATTATATTGACTGAAATCTTTCATGAATCACCTGCAATTGCATATATGATTTTATGGTTTTCAGTGCTTCGCTATATGTTATGAATGGTACATGTTTTTTTATCCCTTGTGTAGGATTCTTTCTGTGACTTCTCTGGAATTTCGTAGCTGTTGCTGCAGCATGCATCAAAGGGGAAGGTTGGTTGTGTTTTCCATTTTAGAAATGATGTTGAGGACTTCTATGTATCTGATCTCTTTCATTCTTGTCTAGGTGTAAAAATCTTTTTTTTGCCTCTCCATAATCTACTTCTCATCGGGGGGCTTCCAGGAGCCTATGTGTTGTGGTATAACCCCCTCTATCGTGCTTTTAGGTATTATATGCATCTTTAACTTTTGGTTGTGATTCTATCACCCATTCTTTTAGTTAATCTAATGACCATCTTGCAGGACTGAAAGTGCTGTCAAATTCAGACGGTTCTTCTTCTTTTATTTGGTAATATCTCATGTTTACACAAAACCCCCTTTTTTCCTCCTAAGAATTGGCAGATACCTAATACCTGTATTCCATCTTCTGCTTGCAGCTCCACACTTGCTACTGCATCTATGCTGAAGTTGTTCCTCCTATAATTTTTAAAGGGAAATCTTTTACGTATGTTCTTTACAAATTCCTAACTTGACTGAACACAACTTCCAATTTCTTTTTTCATTTCTTTGTTTGAAAAAACAAATGTTCTTTCAAGTGGGCTTAAGGCATATAGCACTGGCCTAGGTTATACAGCATGTCTCGCTAATGTTATTCTATGACTGCTACTTCTACAGAGGAATCATTGCTGCAATAGATGTTTTCAGTGACCATGCTTCAGTAGGGGTAAGGATTTAGGACTTTCTCAAATTGGAGTGAAGCATGCTGTCCTGTTTTGCTTCACCAATGTTCCATAGCATGATGCTACAACACAACTAATTCTAATCCCCTTAGCTTGCATAGATACTCTACTTCATTGGATTTGGATTCTTCACTCTCGAAGCAATAGTTTGTCTCTGTGTTATGCGGTTTTGATATACTACATAAACATTTGGACCTAGTTCCTGTTGCACTTACCCATTAGAGATTTCTAACACAGTTTTCCCTTTCTTTCTCAGCAAGTATATTTGTACTTCCGTGGCAGTGGAAGTGCAGCTCAAAAGCACAATGCTGCTAGAGAAGCTGCTATAAAAATATAGCTCGAGTCATGCCACAGTGAAAGAACTGGACACCCATGTTATAAAGGGGAAAAAAAATCATGTAATCCTGTTTGTTTTGTCAAATATCAGATCATATTCCCAGAGATACAAAGTTGCAGAAAGCCAAATACTAATTTTATTTATAATATTGTTTTTAGCATTCAAAAGGCATAAAACCAAGAAACCAAATAGCACACGCCATGCATGGTAGAAATAAGCTATCTATACTAATAGTAGAAATTAGTACGGTACCCTCTAGCAATAAGCTCTGCACTTCTTCTTGCAATCAATGGTGCAGCCACCGCCGCCTCCGCCCATGCCCCATCCCTTGCCTGACCGGCTGTACGAGTCAAAACAATTAGCAGGGCAGGTCAGTTTCTTATGGAAACAGGGACCAGTGTCCTTACACACCACAGAAGGTTGAATAACACCGCCTGATCCAGACCCTCCATTTGGACCACCGACCCCAAACCCATACCCGCCACCTAGGCCTCCATTCTCCCACCCGGGGATGTTAAATCCAGGTACATTAAACCCCCCAGGATTCTCACCATCTTTGTTGTTTTGGTTGCTGGATTGGCTTCCTTTGTTGTTCTGCTTGAGCTTGGCTGAGAAGGATCCGAATGATTCTGGTCGGGCTGCTAGACATAGTGAAGATGTGAGGAGCAAAATGACCAAAAGGGAGAAACTTGATATTGAATTCATGTTGTGGGAATAAAAGAGAGGTATGAGAGATGGTGGGGGTGTAAAGGGGGCATTTATAGATGGTGGAAATTTGGTGGACAGTTGAGAAGGGGTCCTTCATGAATGGAGATTAGGTTGGGTGCTATTATGGCACAGCTCTATCTTAATTTTATGTTGTACAAAAATGGTATTGTTTTGAATGGGGACGATTATGACAACCCGGACTTTTATTAAGCTCACTTAAAATATTGTTTGATTATTAAAAATAATTAATATATAATTATTAATTAAAAATAATTAATATTTATTACTTAATAAATTAAAATCAATTTATAAATTAATATTTATATATACCATAACTAACTATGAAACTAAAAACTAATAAAATCAATAAAAAAACAAATATAATTATTATGTTTTTAGAATGACGTTAACAAAATATAAAGTGACAATAACTATACTTATATTGTATATTGTTAAGTTTTGTATGAATTTTTAGCTACATTTTTATAAAAAAAATAATTTAAATCTAAATATAACAAGAAATATGTATAATTTAAATATTGATTTAATGAACTTAACAAAATATTAAGTGACACCAACGAAGGTTGGATCAAGTGGTAAGCGGCTTGATCCAGTTTAAGTAAGATTTTAAGTTCGAGACCTTATGTACGCAGCAGCTCTTGCTGGGAAACTCACCCACCATTTTTAGGTGGGCGATGCGGATCAGGTCCGGATTAGTCGTGGCGAAGTCTCGGATACCGGATGGGAAACTAAAAAAAAGAAAAACAAAATATTAAGTGACAATAACTATATCCATATTATATATTGTTAAATTTTATATGAATTTTTAGTTGCATTTTTATAAAAAAAAAATAATTTAAATCTAAATATAATAAGAAATATGTATAATTTAAATATTGATTTAATGAACTTAACAAAATATTAAGTGACAATAACTATATCCATATTATATATTGTTAAATTTTATATGAATTTTTAGTTACATTCTTTTTTATAAAACAAAATTTAAATTTAAATATAACAAAAAAATATGTATAATTTAAATATTCGGTGGAAGTGATTAACAATGAAAGGAGATGGAACAGTACTTTAAGGTACCCACAAGCATTGAAGAAGGGAGTTAAGAGGTATAATAAAAACATGGCATAAATGCCCAAACTTCCCATGTGCTACATTCATTAAGTTGATGGTGATTGCTCTTTGGTTTTCCACTAAACAACAGAGTAGTCCATCTATGCCTCCTTTTTATGGTACAAACCTTCTGAGGATGGCTCTAAAAGTTTTAATGGCCTTACTAGCTTTTTTGTATAAGTGATTTTTTTTTTAATACTAGTTGAACTTTTGTGGAAATACTGAATTAGAATTTATATAATAAAATTACTAAAAAAAATTTAAAATTAACAAAAATTAAGAAATTTAACAGAAAAAATTTTTAATTTGATCCAAAATTTAAGTAGAGAAGATATTTTCAAAAACTGAATAAAAAATGCACTTAAAAGACAATGAGGGCCAACCATGTGCTTCAATTTGACAAATTGGTGGGTTCGTACTCCATATACAGAAATGTCCCTTACAAATCATGCAATATCTCCACAACTGTTCTCCAATTAATTTTCATCACCCACTTATCCTTTAGATTACCCTAAGAAGTCAAAGTTGTCCTTCCTTGATTCAGTGCTTGCAATTAAAATTCCAATAATGCCTTTCTTTTAGTAATATGATTACCTGGATCTTGTTAGTAGTAGTTATTCAAGCAAATTATTAACGATTACACACTCATTTAAATTTATTTAGAGTAAGTATTCACTTATACACATATAAGTCTTACATAAAATGTCAGTTGTTTTAAATCTAACCGTTTGAGCACATATTTGCTAAGAAAAAAATCTGTGATCCATGAGTGTAGAAATTATCCATTTATTAGTGTGGATGGTGCAATATCCGGTGAAAAAATACAGGATTTCCAAAAGCCAACTCAAAACCCACTAAAGTTCTTAAATGAGTCCAAGCCACAACCTATTTGCAATGTTCAAGATGGACAAAATGTCAATGACATGGGTCCCTAAACTGGGACCAAGATCCTCCTGACCTACTTCCTATGTTACTGAGTCCCCTCAAAACAATTTCTTAGGAATAGTGGAATACAGAACTTAACCATTCTGTTTTAAACATGTTTTGCCAGCAACTTCTGTAGGAGCTAAAGATCTCGGTAGAATGAAACATTATTTTAGGGAGAAAATGAAGCTTTACAGAGAAAAACGATGGTCCTGCAGGATGATAACTTGAGCACTATAAACAAGAAAAGAAGATTAAAACACAAGATACTATATAAAACCAGCATTACTCTCTAGTCTGTCCAGTGAAGTAATGTTCTTTGCTTATGACTGATGTTACTGGGCAAAATAACTATAGACAGGACGAATTCCAGCTAGCATCAATGTCTCTGATGATTTTTTCATGTAGTTTGGGTCCAGCACTGGCAACTATACCCCGATCAAGACCTTCCAAGTATATGCCTTTTGAGAAGTCCAGAGGAGAGCCTCCTGCATCAGTTACCACACCACCAGCCTCCTGTATGATGACAACCCCAGCTGCATGATCCCATATCTTCTCCTTATATCCAGTCCTTGCAAATTTCATGAATATTTCAGCATCATCACGAGCTATGGCTGCATATTTAACCATGCTGTGTACGCGTAGAGGTTGTTTCCTGCATATGAGAACTTAATATCAAGATTTGTCACAGAGCTTATTTTAGTAACCTACTTTCCAGTTCAGTGATAAGCATTGAATAATCATGTCCTTTAATTTTTTGAGCAACATGTGGAGAAGGAGAAAAAGGGATATTCACCCAAGGCCAACACTGTGGGCCAGTCCTGCTGTGAAGGAGTGGCTTGAAGTTGAATTTGATTTCTCAACACAGAATGTCGCCAATGCTGGATTATCAATGGAGGATACTTGAACTTGTATTGCAGAATTTGGCCATATTAGCATATTGTTTTTCTTGTGTAAAGGTTGCATCCAGGCCTCACCACTGCCACTCCTGGCATAAAGCACACAACCTTTGTCCCAAGATTCGGATGTTGTTGGGGTAAGTTGAGAAATAATTCTATGGTAGCGGTAATGGTAACTTAGCCATTCCTTCTTCATTGGATAATTTGGGCAACCAAGAACCCCAAGCACCACTTCTCCATCTTCTATCAGTGCCAGAGCCACAGCATATTGGTCCCCCTGTACAAATCCCAATGTTCCATTAACGGGGTCAAGTGCCCAAAACCTTCCAGTAGGGCCTCCAGTTGAGTTGCATCGACTAATTGCTTCAAGAACATCTGAACTCAAAAGGGGAGTCTCTGGACCTTCAAGTCCAAAACGAGGCGCTTCGTGTAGACAATCATTCACTGTTTTCACCACTACTTCTAACAGACCAGCTGAATCAGCCTTGGAGAGACTCTGGACATCTTCTTCAGCAACAATGGACACATTTTTACTCCCAAAGGATTCAGATAGTACCCAGCTTACTATCGCTTGGACACTCCAATCTGTTTACATGTTGTGACCAAGAAAATTAGCCAATTAAGTTCTTGTATGACATATTAACTGCTCCAAGAATGATCAGTAAGTCAGCAAAAGATTATTCTCTCCCGTTTATAAATACAGAATTATCAAGTTTAAGAGAATCTGATATAGTTTCAAGTATGTCTAAGCCAATCCAAACCAAAATAATGTTCCTCATAGTCTTTATCATTTTTTTTTTTTTTGTACGTCTGATACTGGGGTATATAACAAGCAATAGCTCTTCCCTTCCTGAAACCTCCCTACTCATCCTAGGACTTGAACATGAAGATTCAGACCCACTAAGTGACTCTATCATTTACTTGTACTTGTTATACCTATGACTTCCCAAACGAAATCATAAGGTCTTAATTAAGTTGTCAAAAGATTAATACAATGATTATAGCATCAAATTCTGATTGAACAACACCAACCACCATGCCAAATTCACAACAAAGAACAATTACAGTACAAAAATTCAACCACCACAAAATCCAAAACCCAAAACCAACCAAGAGAAATCTAAAAAAATGGCTTTATCTAATATACCCAGTTGAGAATTAGGAAGTAAAACATAGAAAAGTGATAGGAATACCTGCAACTATGACAGCAGAATTACCATCTTTGGATTGAATTTGATTGTTGGTCTTAGAAATCAAGTTATCCTGCACTTTTTGACAAAGAGAACAGGCCATCTGGACAGCCCTGACAGCAACATCCAATTCTCTAGAATATTTCTCTGGTTCAGAAGGTGAAAGGGCCAGGCTTTTCTGATTTTCCATTGATGAATAAGAGTAGCTTTCTTCTGATTGAGAAACAATGTGGAGTGAATTACTTTGAGGGCTTACTCTGAGACTGGGGAAGAAAATGAAGCAACTTCTTAGATGGGTTGGTCTTAGAAACTGGGGATTGATGATTCTGCTCTGTCCCAATATATGTGGAACTCTGGCGCCCAGGCTTGAGCAATTTAAAGGCATTACTGATACTAATGGTTACAGTCTCACCCTGTGGTTTTTCTTCAATCGGATTACTGGCGGTTTTTTTTTTTTTTTTGAACTGAAGCTAAATAATTGGATTACCTGGGTTGTGGTGGACAATTGGTGCAGTTTAAATATGCAAAAAATAGATACAAAGGACAAGATTAAGCTTAAAGGGCCATGATGACTTTTCGAATAAATTCATCTTTAGAAAATTGACCATTTGGTTAATCCTTCTTCCCTCCAATCTGTTTCCGTTCTTTCCCCTAAAATTATAAATATTTTGAAAAAAAAAAAAAACCCTAAAAATCTAGACTTTGCAATCATGAAGATGTTTTAGCAAAACTAAAAGAAACCCTTTTCAATTCATCTCTTTAAGATCATAACAAATATATTTTTCATGTTATAGAATAAAGAAGATAATATTTTACTATGCTCCATGTATAATAGATTAAACTTCTTTTAATCTTAAATGAAGGGGTAAGTTATTAGCATTTAAAGTTTATCTCTCTACTTTTTTTCTTTTTTTTTTTTGAACAAGAGGCAATTAGGGGGAAAGGGGAAGAGGAAGGGAATGGACTAACCCATAAGTTTAAAAAAAACACTAATAGTTTGTACATCTAATATAAATATTCAAGTGGTTGATACTATTCGAACTTTTTATCAACTTTACCTAACTATTTAAGGTTTTTTTTTTTTTATTAATAATATGTAGATTGCACTTTAATTTTCTTATGGGAGAATATAGACTAAGAAAAGAAATGTCATCAGGAAAATATAGATTAAGAAAAGAAATGTCAAATCTCCCATAAATTACCAAAGGTAAATTGCGGGTTTTCTGATTTTTCCCTATCTACCAATTCCATAATACATGCAAACAGTTCTGTCTACATGTTGTGCATCTTAGGTTTCCTTTTAATAATGCAATTTTGGGATAATGGGTCATCATGATCTCATTAGTACGTTACATGAACAATTCGACATCAAAAGAATGCGAACTTTCTTATTGGATAGAGGTTCACGCATGAACCTATTCAATGTGGATGGAGCTATGAATTATGCAATAGCATCACCAACATAGACAGCAATCAGAGTCAAGAGAGATCTTTCTCCTGTTTCTCAAATACGCCGGCTCTGCCCTGAAAAAGACCTTCACCATTCCCATTGGCAGATAAACCAGTGTAAGAGGGGAAAGGCCAAAATGGACTGACTAACATAAACAAAGAAATGATTTGAGTGAATGTCACTTAAATTTCAGAACAGTACTAAGCCATGTTGGATTCCCACGATTCTGTTGTATGATTTGAGCACCAGAAAACCAAGGGATCAGATGGTGCAACGCCAAATGGATATGTTTCAGTGTTTGAAGCTTCTATCTATACAACAGTTTGAAGAGACACTTGTAGATAGCATAAAACTATGCTTGGGTCTATCATGCCATTCCAAAAAGTCTTTGATATGACAAAGAGGCATCATTGGGTATATCGTAATCTTTCCATGATCATTAAGTCACTTTTTGTTCAGGCCTATTTTAACACCAGGGGTGGCTCCGATTCATTTCCACTTTGATGAATAATTGTAATTATAAGTCTCACGTAAGATTAAGATCAAGCATGATTTCATCATTAACAATATATATTGAACATATTTTTAAGGATATCTTAGTGGTTAAAACTTAATAATTTGAGTTTATCATATAAGTTTTGAAGTTATATGTATTTGATTTGATATTATTTTTAACCTTAAAAATATTTCAAATTTATATTCAGGTAAGTCTGAAATCTAACAAATTATTAGTAATTTAAGAAAAAAA